GGAGGGTGCGCCCCCCCCCGCTTGGCCCAGCTGAGACCTGGGCAACGGGAGACCAGCCCAGGTCTCTAAAAGGTTGCCTTTGCCTGGTCTACAATATGAACAGGTAACTACATATCCTCCATCTTTATTTTTTGGATTACATAGTTCCCATAGGCTCAAGGCTTTGGGGGCAGAACACAAATATATCCTACACCATGTGGTTCAGTTCTTGAAGCTCAGCCTGAAAATTATTTCTGTCCTTTATTTGTTGGTTTACAGAGTAATTGCCTACAAAGTCTGGCTGAGCTTGTTTGGAGGTTCTAGCAGGGGAGCGCAGCTATCGTATACCCTTGACCGAAGAACGGTACACTCCTTCTATCTGGGATGGTCGTCCTCTTCCACCGAGCGTGCAGCTTCGGGAGGGACGCACATGGAGCAGTGAGGGAGGAAGGGGACACCCGCCTAGCCAGCCAGATCAGCCGAATCAACCCTGGCGATCAATGGGGTGACAGATGTCGCAGCCAGATCGCCCTCACATCCAAGTCTGGCTGATGTTTCATCAATGGGAATTAATAATTAGGAGATGGTTTATTGAGAGCTGAGAAAACTCTTGGTGTCAGTGAAGAACACAACCAATACTAGGGATGGAAAAAATATCCACAATTTATGAACAGGTTGACAAAGGAAGTTTCCTGATATATGGGAAACTCTGCCAAGAAAAATAGCAGAGCAGCAAGACTTTTGCATAGTTTTCTCCTGGTGTTCATATTGTCCTAAACTGTTGTGGAAAAATTATTGCATGAAAGAAGAAGAAAAAACTACTTTCCTGTGCCAAAAAAACAAAACAAAACCCTGCACCAAGTTTTCTTTGCAGAAAATACATTTTCTGCACCAAAAACAAAACAAAAAAAACCAAAAACACAAAATCAAACATTTTATCTCTGCACAATTCCTCAAACAGACTTTGGAAATTCTGATGTGGGGAAAATACTTCAAAGAAATACTTAATTTCTACTGTAGGAGGGAGAAATACTTGCATGCAAGGTCAGGACAAAATGGTCAAGGACTTATTCTTCTACCAAATTCATTTCCCCCCAGCAGAGGCAAGTTCAGTGAGGAACTGGAAATTCAAGAAAGAAAGAGAGATGCAGAGAGAGAATGAGAACTGAGCATTTCTCACTAGACTTAGCTCAGAGTAAGGGTGCAGTGTTGGAAGTCTGCCCAAGTGGCTCTCTGGGGGATCGTCTGCCTTGAAGGACTGCCAGTACACTTCCATTCATGTTCTGCATGTGTATTTGTTACTAAAACAAATATTACCAAGATAGCGTAAGTCTCCAGTGGGGTTTCTCATCTATCGCAAATTAAAAGTTCTAGAAAGTAGGAGCGGGAACATAACACTAATAATATCAAACAACACAGGAGAAGTAGGAGGAAGAGCGTGTGCATGTGCGTGTGCGCATAAGGTTCTCGGTTGTCCAGTTGCAACATATATTCTCACTTTTGTATGTTTTTAATTGCATTCTTTTAAACTGTAAGCCACTTTTAGTCCCAATTTTTGGGGGAAAGCAGGATAAAAAAAGCAGCAGCACTTATTATTATTATTATTATTATTATTATTCCAGTTAGAATTCCTAAAATCCATTTAACTAAAGCCATATCCTAACCCTGCACTCCCTCTCATGTTGTACATAGAGTTGGAGACTGAGACTGGCTTACCTAAGGCTTACTAATGAATTCATTGTTCTTGTTGTTGCTGCTGTTTGCCCTCAATTTGTTTCCAATTTATGACAACCCTAAGGCGAACCTACCATGGGGCTTTCTTGGCAAGAATTGTTCAGAGAAGGCTTACCATTACCTTCCCCTGAGGCTGAGAGTGTGTGACTTGTCCAAGGTCATCCAGTGGGTTTATATGGCTGAGCTGGGATTCAAACTCTGGTCTCTAGAGTCATAGTCCAGCAACCAAACCACTGCACCACACTGGCTCTCTAATGAAATCATTTTTGTTGTTGTTAACTGCCCTCGAGTTGATCTCGACTCATGGTGACCCTATGGATGAGACATCTCCAACACTCTGTTTCCTCCACTGCTCTGCTTAATTCCTGCAACCCCATAAAACTCATGACCTCCTTAATAGAGTCCATCCATATGGCATGTGGCCTTCCTCTCTTCCTATTTCCCTCCATCTTTCCCAGCATTTTTGTCTTTTAATAATAATAATAAATTTTATTTTTATACCGCCCATTGGTAGTC